TTAAAACTGCCTATTTGCTTGAACTAGACACCAGGCATCTTTTCTTTTTGTGTAACCGCTGACCCATAGATTGTTGGGGAAGGGGGTTGGAGCGCACATTATGCTGCAGTGCATGCTCGGGACTATATTGCAGGTCAGGGTGAACCGGGCTAAAAATTAAAATAATTTCGCAGGCCGAATGGGATTGTGCCATGGGCCTGACGTGGCCTGCGGGCCTTGTGTTTGACACACGGGTTCTAGGAAGTGTTTCAGCTCTGAGTGCTTTTTGAATGAAGCACATTCACTTTAGTTGATTGAAGCTTCCACGAAACTACATTTCACTTGTGTCGCATGAGGTAACGCCTGAAAACCTGACCTAGGAGTATAAGCGGCTTAGATAGTGTGTGCGTGTGTGTGTGTGTGTGTGTGTGTGTGTGTGTGTGTGTGTGTGTCTCTTTTTCTTGAAATAATGCTTTTTTTCATTAGCAATCTCCCAGACCTTTTCTTCTGGATCTTTTTGTGATGTATCAACCCACAATAAGTTAAATTATAAAAGGGGGAGAAACATCACAAAACATGTCGAATATGGGTTCTTCTTCTAGTTGTTAGCTATTTAAACAGCTATTTAAATGGCTGCTTTTACCATCATGTCACATTAGCCAGCTGTAACTCTATCAGCTTTGCTAGAATTGTGGCAAAGATGTAAATATAAGCTAAATAACACACTGCAGATGATTATATATAGTCACAATGATGCGACATATGAAAAAAACACTGTAATTTGTGTAACTACTGTACAGACTGAATGAGTTGAATGCAACCGGCAACTATAGCAAGAAAGCTTCACCAGCCTATAGGTGCCTATGTGGGTCCATACTTCAGTTTTTGCATGTGTCGCGCTGGTACGAGTGGATCAGACACAGCAGTGCTGCTGAAGTTTTTAAATAGTGTTCACTCACTCCTACCTTGTTTCTCCACCTTCTAGATGTGAAGTCAGAGACAGTAGCTCATCTGTTGCTGCACAGTTTGTGTTGGTCATCCTCTAGTTCTTCATCAGTGGTCACAGGGCACTGTTGGCTGGATATTTCTGGTTGGTGGACTATTTTCAGTCCAGCTGTGACACTGAGGTGTTTAAAAACTCCAGCAGCACTGCTGTATCTGATCCACTCAGACCAGCGCAACAAAAACTAACACACCACCACCATGTCAGTATCACAGCAGTGCTGAGAATGATCCACCACCCAAATCATCCCTGCTCTGTGGTGGTCCTGTGTGGGTTCCTGACCACTGAAGAACAGGGTAAAGAGGGCTAACAAAGCATGCAGAGAAACAGATGGACTACAGTCTGTAACTGTAGAACTACAAAGTGCTCCTATATAGTAAGTGGAGCTGATAAAATGGACAGTGAGTGTAGAAACAAGGAATTGGTGTTAATATTATGGCTGACTGGTGTTTAGATTAGTTTAGTTAGTGAGTAATAAGTCTTAAGATTAATGACTGAACAATAAGCCTTCAGCCAGCACAGGTCCTGAGAAGTATTGTGTTGAGAAGTAACTACTTCAGCAGGCCCTAAGTTTGTTGGTAATTTCTAGAGCCTGCGTGTCTATGGGTATCAGTATCAGGCTGAAATCAGCAGAAAATGTTGGGTCAGATATCAGATGGAAAAAAAAAGGGAATCTGATCTAATCCTGTGACAAATCTAACCCGAAACAGCACTGACTCACACTGTGTCATGTGATGTTGTTAGCTGTGTATTTCTTCCTGTGGGGTAATACACTGTTTGAGTAGACTGAGCCTACTTTTAGATGCTCATCTTAAAGGGGCATTCCAGCCTTAAACTAACATTTAATATGTTAATTTTCATGTAATTTAATGTTTTCTATCATTTTATCATCAGTTTTCTCACTACACTCTTAAAAATGATGACTCTTCAAGGGTTCTTTAGTAAAGGGAATGGTCATATATAGAACCATGTCATGCTTAAATGTTTTCTTGCATGGTGAAATGGTTCTTCAGATTGGAGGTGGTGTTGCATATGGTTCTATATTGAACCTTTTTAAAAATGCTTGTATTTCGCTTTAAAAAACGTTCTTCTTTTACAACAGCAGAACCCTTTTCGGTGCTATATAGAACCATAAATAGCACATCCTCCATTAATCTGAAGAACCATTTCACCATACAAAGAATCATTTATGCATAAAATGGTTCTATGTAGATCTCATGTTTCTAAATAAAACTATCTTTTTTTAAGAGTGTACAATACCCAGCATACCTTACACAAATACAGCACACAATCATTGGGAATCCTTACAGTGCTCAACAAATCCTGATTGCCAGATGTAGAGGCGAATAAATACATCTTTAAATTATGTTTACTTCAGATGTAGCAATGGTTATTTTTTCTCAGCCACATTGTCCTTTTAAGTGAAGTGCTCTCTCTCTCTCTCTCTCTCTCTCTCTCTCTCTCTATATATATATATATATATATATATATATGTTTGTGTGTGTGTGCGTGTGTGAGTGTGTACAGTCATGTGCCCATGGTCGAATTACTTTAAAATTAAGTTTTATTGATTTTCTACGTGGAAATAAGTTAACATATCCTGTACTAAAGAGAACACATTTAATTCATAATTTATTGTTTATTTGCTGGATTTAACGTGTTCTGAAAAACATAATAAGACATCAGATGTTGCCTGTGCAAATGTTGATATTTTTTTCATATTTTATACGTTTCTTACGTTTATTTTACCTTGTATACGTTTATTTTCAATTAGAAAATGAACAAAACATCTCTCTTCGAAACTTTTGCACACGACCGTAAGCGTTAGTGAAGAGCTGTGTGTGCTGTTCTGTGTCACTGCACACCTGGAAAAGAAAGCTGACAGAGATGCTTAATGTTAATATAATTATATTTTAAAAAATATTTGGAGACCAAAGAACACCTTTATAGTCCCGAAAGAAAATAAACGCGACGCACGCCGTATAATCCGCGTCACTGTCTGTATCCCTCCGCCTGGCCGGCGGCCTACATGTGTATCCTTCCTCCACCCGCCCGGCACTCGCGGGCGCAGACGGATGCCGCGTAGGAACGGCTTCTACAGAGGGAGGCAAAAATCGCTCACAGCCAGCCCCGATGAGTCTGGAGCGCCTTTACTAAACCACGTTTCAGTCTGATGAGGCTTTAGCTGGCGCGTTAAGTGAACTGACGCTTGAGAAGATTATAGAGGAGATACATTTTTTCTAGTTAGCCAGGCATGGCCGACATCGACAAGCTCAACATAGACAGCATCATTCAGCGCCTCCTGGAAGGTAAGATTTGAGAAATTTTGAAGGATAAAAGTGTGTTTTATGACCTAAATCACACCACGTAAGGCTTTTTAAATCACAAGTATTCTGGGGGTCAATTTATTGCACAAGAGGTCAGTTGTTGTAGCTTAAAGAAGGGTAGGGATTCGCCAGCCTGAGGTAGGTAGGGTTAGCTAAGCTAGCTAGCTGGCTAGGTTAGTTCACGCTACTTAGCTTCCCTGCTTGACAGCAAACGTTTTTATTTTTTAATAATTTTTTAGACCAAACGCACTAAATTCGCTTCAGCTTTTGGTGTGGATGTCTTCTGAAATTGAAACGTGTAAAAATATATCGAGTTAATGTCAGCTACTGTCATTTCTAGCATCGTAACTTGGGGAGAATTGACGTAATGTTAAGGAGGCTGAAGTCGGCTCCCTTCTCGTCCGCTCCTTGTTCCAGTTTTCCCGTTCCACCTTAAATGGCGCGGCGCTTCCCTTCAGGCGCCGGAGGGACCCGAAAGCAACTGCTGCGGCATTTAAGGTGGAACGGGAAGATTCGAGGAAGAAGCTAGCTTCAGCTTCGTGTGACGTTAGCCCGCTAACCAGCTATCCCAGGACACAGTTTAACGTTAACCGTTCCCTTTTTGAAAACACTGTTTTGTTGATGTATTTCGCGTTAAAAGGTTATTTTTTGTGCCCAAAGGGTCACTAATATTACTCGTAAATTATTTGGTAAAGCACCCAGACATTAGTGTTAGCTAACGTTAGCTCACTGCCTGTTCATGGTTTGAAAAAGCTGACTTCAGTATGCTGGCGCTTGTTTGTTTGAAAGCAAGGTAGAAAACGAAATGGTTGCAGATCATCAAGATTACATTGGTGTAAGCAATAAATGTGCCCTGTGTTTCTTTTTCTACCCAGGAAAATTGCAACTAGATAACGTAGCTAGATACAGAAGATAAGCACACACAAATAGCCGCTCTGGCAGCGCTGAGTTTATTATTTATTAATAGAATTATTAAAGGGGAATGCCACAAACTTTTCAACATTTCTGAATAATTGAGTCCTTGGGATGTAAAGTCATTTAGAGTGGTTTGGTGTGAAATGGCTCATTGTAGAGAAACTTGGTGGTGGTGATAGGATCCAGGGTCACAATGTCTAACAACACAGATATAGCACTTGTATTTACTATCCAAAACCACCAGTGAACCTAGTGGTGTCTGCTGAGTTTTTCTGTGTAATGTTGATAATGGTAAAATAGTCATAAATCTGAAAAAAATATGTGGGGTCAGTTTGCCTTTCAACACCCTGCATGTACCTCTCTGCCATGAATGGATTGAAATATATGGATTCAAATACATTTTTAGTCAAAAACTTTTATCACATAAAAATAACAATGTTTGAGATGTCAGACAGTATATATCTGACCGTTTCATGTAATAACTTTATGTAAAGGAGTTCTTAGAGACGGACGTCTGGTTCCCGTCACCACCACTTTGAACAGTTCTGATTTGACACATTTCTCTAGTGCGGAGTGTTTAAATTAAACCGCTCTGAATTGGTTTATGTCTCAGCCATTTAATAATGTAGAATTTTTTAAAAGTCAGTGGAGTTCCCTTTTAAAGTGAATAGATTGTGTTCTTACTGTAGAGAATAGCGTGGTTTGGTAGTTGTGCACTGCAGGGGAGAGACGACCCACTTTTTTTCATGCGGTTTGCCCTGTTTAAGCTCTCTGCGCTCTGAGTATCTCACAGAAAGCAGAGCTGGTGATGCTGAGGACTGGGGTTGACCAGCAGCTCCACTGATGGTCCACTGGACTGGATGTTATAGCAGGCACGAACAGTTCAGACTGTTCATGATTTGGCTTCCAGAAAAAGGAAAGATGAACCCTCTTGTTTCCTAGAAGTAGTTTGCGAGTCGACTGACAGCAGCAGTCAGGAATGGGCAAACAGTTGCCACCCCAGGGTGGTGTACTAAGAAGTTTGGATTCATAAGTCTAGGGCTTCTGCTAATTAGTAATATGTTATTTCGTCTATGCATTGGCTAATCTAAATGATTTATTTCTATTATAAAAAAGCCAGTGGACAATATAAAGTTAAAAGATTTCCAATGAATATTTTAACTTAAATTTCAGCAGTTGATTAAAACAAGTGGGATCTTCCAAGAGCACCACCTGATAATCAGAGAAAGCATATCTTGCTTAGCAGAGAGATTTTCAAAGTGAAACGTTCAATACTTTGCAAAGATATGATGCTGTGGACGTCAGACACATTTCCAGATCTGGCTTTTGTATCCTGAGTCATGCCATACAGTGAGTCTTGTTTTTTTTTTGTTTTTTTTTAAGCAAAACTGTGTTTCCTTTACAGATTAAAACCTAGAGGCAACAGCTAATCTGACAAAATTGACAAAATCTTGCTGGTTGTGGCCAGCTTGGTTTGCAGTAGATGTCAGGTGGCCCGTTTCTCAGTTGCTGCTGAGACTGCCTGTTGGTTAACTGAAGCAATAAGCATTCACTTTACTATTATTTTATCAAGAAGCAATTTATAGACAGTGAAAATGTGAATAATTAAACATTTGGCAAAAACTACCAACTCATACCAGCATGTTTCTGTTCAGAAACCAAAAGTGTGTTTGTTTTTGTTTTTTAAGGGGGCTTCTATGTGATGTTGCCACATTACTTGCCATGTTGAAATGGATTATTTGAGAAAGTTGGCATCAGAATTTGACTTAGCCTGTAGGTAAGGCTGAGGAACAGCCTTTCAGGCAGAAAAAAGGAACCCTTTTGTTTATAACTAATTTTCTATGTGAATGCTCACTCAGAAATTGCTTTCTGAACCATATTCATCATCTGAGGATACTAACTAAAAGCAGAGTTAGTAGTTGTTGTGGTCACATAGTGTTTTTTGTGTCTTTTACATATCGAGAACCGCATTGTTGCTGAATTTTATAAGACGATGCAATGCAATAAAGCTGGGTCATTTTAAACTCAATTAAAATGAATTCTGTCCTGTGTGGAGGATATTTGTACCATCGTAATATAATGCAGCATTTTAGGGCTTCTGTTGTTTGCCAACCATTTTTGCCTTTGTTATTTGGCTAATGAATGTTCAGACCAGTTCATGTGTTTATGTGAAAATGTTCATGTCCCCCTTCTTTTCATTTTACTCTTTGAAATAGTGACAATATTTAGAATTTGTTAGAAGGTGGCTGAGCAGTTAGAGACGGCACTTTGGAGATGGTGAGTGTACTTTACTGGGACTTGCTGGTCAATGTTTGATTTAAAAAAAGCTATAAATATTGTTGTTGTTTTTTTTTTCTTTGGAAGTTTTTGAATCAACATAGTTCACGAAATGTAAAATCCTATTTGAAATGGTGTTGTGGTGTCTCAACTCAGTTCAGGTTGAACAGCTGGAAAACCACTGAACTGGGATGTTTGAAGTGTATTGGATGAATTTGAAATATTTTAGTACTGTAGGATAATGTAAAATATGCATTATTATACACATTACTAACTAATGATTTCTGGCCTGTTGAGAATGTACGCTTTAGAAGATCTTTCTTCTAAACTGAGTAACTATGACAGCCATGCTTTGAACAAGATAAATCTCTCCTGTGTGTAGCGTCAGAGATCTGCCTCTGAACCTGCGTGCATCTTTATGGATGCATTATGGCCCTCATTGAAACCAGGCCATTCAGAGAGAGTAGTAAACCTTATCTCCTACACTGGTATTAATACAGGCTGTTCCTTTGGCAAGCTGTTCCCTTATGTAACTGCTCTCATGGCTACTAAAGGTGAAGAGGGCTATAGTGTTCAGTGCTCTGTGTTTGGACATTTAACGCTGGAGTTTCCAAGACTGTACACTTACTGGCCTTGTCGCTTGTATGAGTGTTTATTTCTGTTTAGGCCGTGGATTGTGGATGGATGTGCTACATATTTATGATTATTGACATTGTACAGAGGGCTTGAGATTGTAAAAGGCATGCACAATAATAACAGAATCATATGCAGCAATTGTTGAAAAACACAGAATTATTGGCATTTGACTGATAATTCAAACCAGTATTTTATGATCTGAAAGAGGAAAATGTTTAGATGTTGCTTATTTGCGATGCAAAAATGTCTGCATATTGTTTATTTTACTGTTTTGGAACCCTTTACTAGTAATTGTAAATATGGCATTTCTCTGTAGTGCCAGTCAAGGTGAATCTAGTCACAGTTTCTACTAGAGATGCACCGATACCACTTTTTCCCCTCTGATCCTGATATCGATACCTAATCCTTTAGTATCGGCCCATACTGAGTACTGATACAGATACTAACTCTATCGTATAAGTCTATTGTAATTACATTTTTAAAATATTTTATTTTGGTAAAATGTGTGTTCTTGTTACAAATAAAACACACATAGCTTGGCTAGATGGCATTTACTTGTTGGATTATATTTGTTAGATGCTTGAGAACTTACTGTTTATTTAATTTTGTATTTACTATTATAGAATCAGAAATAAGAACCATCTTTAACAACTTAATTAAACATAAAATATCTTGTTCACTTGTCCGGCATCTCTGAGTGCTATCAGTTCAGTAAATATTGCCATTGTATTAGCGACTTTTAGTGTTTTTTCTGGCTTGGTTGAAGCGATGGGCCATGAGACCCCACTGATGCAGCTGACGGATGGAGGCGCACCACAGGCAGGCCTTGTGAGCTGCTAGGTTAAAGGCTAAATCGTGACTAAAGGCTATCATTATGCCAAGAGTCTGGCGGTTTCTTCTGCTCTCAATAACGTTAACTCGGACTGTAAGTGACCACACAGCGGCAGACGAGTGATTACTGAAAGAAGCAGCTCAGCCGTTCAGGTAAGCAGCTCTGTTAGCATGTTCTTAACACCAAAAACTGGTGTTACAGGCCATCCTACCCACCCCAGAGAGAGCGAGGCCAATTGTGCTCTCTCGGACTCCTGGCTACGGACGGCTGTAGCATCACCAGGAATCGAAGCTAAACCGTGTTTGAAGCCAGTGGACGTGTACACGTCAGCTAATTCCTGTATAAGGCAGTATGTTATTAAAAACCAGTGTCTCATTTATGGAGTAATCTTTGACCATAATACTGCATGGCAACCGTAACGTACTGTTAAAAACATTGCAGAAGGTGATTATTATTAATAATAATAATGTTTTGAACAGTGAGGTATTTTCACATTTATTTTTTGTCTTATACAAGCAGTGGACTGCTTTAGGCCATACTTTACATTGATTTGTTCCACACTTCATTTTGTGCCTAAACCCTTTAAGCTTGGTAAAGTCATTGTGACGCACGTCCTCTCGTGACTTATTACTGTAATAGATTGTTTCGTAATAGGCCCATTTCATAATAGATCTGTGGTAGACCCACGCCCCTGTAAGGTACGTAACAGCGTATGTTAGGACAAGGTGAATAAACAAGTCTAAAACTGCCTCGTTGGTTCTCCTTTTTTCCTGAGAAAGTGCAGCAATAAAAAAAATAAAAATGCGTGCCAGTAAATGGAAACCTGGACAAATAAACCCAAAAACCTTACAGTTTACCTCTGTTCTCCACTACTTCAGTATGGTGTTGCCAAATTAGAGAACATTCATTTATGTGTGCTGCCAATAAAACAGGTAAATGAAGATCTTTCCAGAGAACAGCAAAAACATTTTGTCCAAAGTAACGTGTAGCCCAGTAACGTGTAGTTGCTGTTTTATAAATGAGTGTCTTCCAGTTCTGCAGCAGCCATATTGCAGCATCACTGACGGTCTCAGGAGCTTTGGCCATTGTTTTCTTCTCAGTTTCAGGGCCTCCTTTATCTAACGTTCTCAGTAATTGCCCCTGAAGCTGATAAGAACATAGTGATTGGTTAACACTAAAAATGGCCAGAGTAACTCACTGTTAGACAAATGCCAAAGTAAATCTGTAGAGGAAAGTGAAGCAAAACATACTGAGATTAATGGTGTGTGTGTTTTTATTTATTTAATTGTTTAAGAATGTTTTTTTATTTTTTTTATCAATGGCACTGGGCCTGGGTATGTAGTATATTTACTGCTTTCATGGTACTGACCGAACTAATAAATTCTCCAGTGTCAAAAAAAAGTCAAACTTCATTACCTAAGTATTCCTGCTTAAGAATAAAGCATTTTACTCAGCACTTCTTCAATTCTGGTGGTCCTTTGATTAGTCTGGAATCTTTCATTCAGGAACCTCACACTTATTTCTGATTGAAGCGGCACCCACTTTTGCTTTGTATACAAATACAAATTATTTTGTATGTTGAACATTTAAGTACAAATACAAATTGCAGCAGTGTTTCTGGGAAACCCCCCCCCCACACACACACACACACAGATTACTCGTTATAGTGTTTTTATGGGAATCTTGGGGATAGATTTTGTTTTTTTGGGATAACTAATTTAGGTACATAGAAATGCAAAGATGTTAAAACAATTAACACATTCTTTGTTTTTTAACAAAAAAAAAAGTAATTTTCAAACTTTTTAATTGAGTATTAACATAGCCCAACACTTACATAATGAGCAGCTCGCTGGGCTTTGACTGTATTTCCTCCTGCGAGTAGGTTAAGCATTTAAGCATTTTGTGAACGATATTATTAGTGGTATTATATAATGTTCCTATAAACTATATACGGATACTGTATAGCTTGGTAGGTTTTAAAAGGGAAAAAATGACGTCGATGTACAGTATACTATTGCTAGATGTTGGTATCAGACAAAAAAAGCACTCTGTAAATGGTAACCCCACACTTGAATGAGCCCTGACCAAAACGGAACAACATACCAAGAGAGAACGTCAGTTCTGACTTTTAGACGGGCACCACAGCAGGGCTGGGAGCTTCTTCTGAACTGTGCAGCGTGGCTGAAGAATGACTCAGTGCAGCTGTGGGAACAAATCCGCCCTGCGTTTGTCGAGACAGGACAGATTAGTTTGAACAGTTGTACGGTGTGCACTGGCTAATACACAGTCCTGATGGGTCACAGCAGTGCTCAGCCACTCATACTGTGGACATAGAGAAGGACTTTTTATTTATTTATTTATTTTTAAGAGAAGTCCTAATATTAGCAGATTCATCAAATGTTTTTATTAACAGCACACTTTTTGTTGCCATGTTAACAGGATTGTCAGACAGGTTGTGTAATTAGGCTGGATCTTTTTGCTAAAAACACACCGTCTGTATTTAAAACATTTGTTTTGAGCGGTCTACTTCGTGGTTGTACTGGGGAACTGTACGCTGAGTCCTGAAATGTACAAGTTTATATTAGTGTCAAAGACCTTGCAGTAA